TACCAGGCTGATCTAAAAATAAAAGTGAGCCTGTCTCTAGCTAGTAAATATTTTTCATCTCCAAGATCTCTTGTCATTCTAAAGAGAAGCTCAAGCTTCATTGTTTGAGAAAAAGATGAAGCTGTTTCTGAAGGGCGTGTCTGGGTTCTCCGGCTTACTGTACAGTCTGTCTCTGCCACTGGGAGCTTTGTACCCCTGCCATTTAAATAGCTACATGGGTGGGGGGAGAGACAGAGAGACAGAGACAGAGACACAGAGAGAGACAGAGAGAGAGAAAGTGCAGACTTTATCTCCGTGTTCTGGCCTTAAATGTCACAACCTTATAAGCCTGAGAGATGAGAGTGACCTCAGATATCATGTAGTCATGGAATCACAGATTCTCAGAGTTGGAACTTTAGTAACCATCTGGACCATCCCCCAAAAGGAAAAAAAAATAGTTCCTTCTCCCTGAGAAGTGGACCCCAGCCTTTGTTTGAATGCTTCCAATGAGAGGGACCCCATTGCTTCTGGAAGCAGTCCCTTCTACTCTGGGACAGCTGGAATTGTTAGCAAGATTTTCCCCTGCAGCAAGCCCAGGGCTAGCTCTTTGAAACCTGAACCCATCATTCTCAGTTCTGTCCTCTGGGACCCAACCAAACGTGTGCTCTCCTTCCTCAGGAGTCGCTGTGCCTCCCAAGTCATCTGTTCTCCAGGCTAAAATGAGCCTAGTTCTTTCAGCCAATTGTAGCCATTCGACATCCTAGTCACTTTTCTCTGGACATTCTTTGGTTTGTCACATTCTAAAATGTGATGCCCAGAACTGGCCACAACGCTATAGATGTGGTCTGAGCCAGGCAGAGGACAGTGTGTAGTGTTTCTGGAAAATATGGCAACTCAAAAAATACCTCTCATAATTTAGCCTAAGACCATATTAACTTTATTGGCTGCCATATTGAGGCTAATAACCCTTACAGTCATGCAGTCCACTGAAACCCCCAGGTCTTTTTCAGGCAAACTAACATCCAACTGTATCCTCTTCATCTTGTAGTAGAACCCCTTCATTTTACAAATGAAGAGACTAGGGCCTAGATTAGGAGTTATGGGGATCTGGGTTCACATACTGATTTTATGATTTACTGCCTGTCTGCCACTACATCTCTTTGGGTCCCAAGCAAAATGATGAAGTTGGGCTAAATGAACCTTCGCAGCTCTGAATCTCCTGCATTCAGACTCCCCCACTGGTCATTCAAGGCTTCTTATAACCTGACCTCTCTGTACCCTTCCAGTCTCATCCTCTCGACATTTCACTGCACGTACTCTGTGCTCCAGTTAGTCTGGCTTCCTCATAGTTGCCCCCTACTCCGAGGTCGTAGCAAAGAAGACCTGGGTTCTAGTTTGGATGCTGCCTCCCACAAACATGCTATGTGACAATGGGCAAGTAATTTCCCATCTCCTTGTCATCTGTAAATTGGGGATCATGAGAATGATGATAACTGACATTTATATCGTATTGCTATGTTTAATTTTTACATCATCTACATTTTCCAATATATCTTTGCCCACTGTCCTTCCCAGAAAACCATAGTAAAGTGGAAGTTGTACAGGATTTGGAGTTGGAAGGCCTGTGTTCAAATCCCAGATCTATTATTAACTATCTTTGCGACCTTGGACTTCATAGACTACTATCTGTGTGACCTTAACCTCTCTGTGGCTTAGCTTCTCATCTGTAAAATGAAGGGGTTATGGGGCAGCTAGGTGGTACAGTGGATAGAGCACCGGCCCTGGATTCAGGACCTGAGTTCAAATCCGGCCTCAGACATATAACATTTACTAGCTGTGTGACTGCAGACAAGTCACTTAACCCCATTGCCTAGCCCCCCCCAAAAAATGAGGGCGTTAGACCAGATGGTCTTCTAAGGTCCGTTCCAGCTCTAAATTAAGGATTCTGTGGCCAACCATTTATTAATCAATTGGCATTTATTAAGCTCTTTTTATGTGCCAGGCACTATGTTAGGGGCTGAGGATACAAAAACAAAAATAAAATGATTCCTGCCCTCAGGGAGCTTACATTCTTCTATCAAGGAAAACCACATGTACATATATAAGTACATTCAAAATATATACATAGTAAATACAAGACAATTTTGGAAGGGAATGCCCTGGTACCTGTGAGCATTAGGAGGGGTTCTACAAATAGGAAAGTTAGCTAGTCCCTGCCCTCAGGAAGCTTACACTCTGCGAGGGGGACTCACAATCATAGAATAGTAAATACAAATTTAAAAGGCTGCTTGAAGAAAATTGCTTTGGGGTTGAGCCTTGAAGGGAGGCTGGGCTTCCAAGAGGCAGAAGTAAGGAGGGAGAGAGCTTTGAGAATAGCCCATGTAAAGACAGAGGAGCTGGAAATACAAAGTCATGAGTGACGAGAAGCAAGTGGGTCATTTTGGTGGGAGTGTAGAGTGTATGTAAGGGAGACTGATATGTAACCATCCTGAAAAAGTCAGATGGAGCCAGACTGTGATGGGCTTTAAATGCTAAAACCAAGAAGACTATGTTTTGTCCTTGAGGGAGTCAACAGATCTTGAACTGGGGAGGGATGTGGTCAGACCTGTGCTTTAGGAATTCCCATGTGTGGGGGGAATTGTTTGGAGAGACTCAGTTCACAGAGACCAAGTAGGAAACCCTTACCATCGTCCAGGTATGAAGTGATAAAAGCATGAACGTAGGTCACTTGTGGTGTGAGCAGGGAGAAGGAGAGTCACACAAAAAATATCGAGAGAGAGAATCAACAAGACTTCTCATTTGATTGGATATGGGGAAAGATGAGTAAGAATGCAGTGGGGTAGGATGAATCAGAAACGGAGAGCTTCAAGGGACCTGAGAGGCCATCGAGGCGTGAGGCCAAAGCCTAGAAAAGGGGTGGGAATGTGCGCAGTGTCGGAGCTAAGATTCAAGCTCAGGTCTTAGATCCCTGAGATCGGTGTTCCACATTCATTTCTCTTTTCCCTTCTTCACATTGCCTCCCAAGGATGACTCCTGAATTGTGAACCTGGGTAGTTGGAAAAATGGTGGTTTCCTGAACAGAAATGGGAAATTCTGGAGGAGAGATGGGTTTAGAGTAGGGGGTCTTAACTTTTTTTGTATCTAGAACCCTGTTGGCCATCAGGTGAAACTGACTATGGATCCATTCTTAGAATCTTTTAAAATGCATAAAGTAAAAGACGTAGGATTACAAAGGAACCCAACTGGATTGAAATACCATTTTCAAGGGGTGGCTAGGTAGCACAGTTGATAGAGTTCTGGGCCTGGAGTCAGGAAAACCTGAATTCAAATCTGGCCTCAGACACTTACTAGCTGTGTGACCCTTGGTGAGTCACTTAATACTTTTTGCCTCTGTTTCTTCATCTGTCAAATGAACTAGAGAAGGAAATGGCAAATCACTCCACTATCTTTGCCAAGAAAACCCCAAATGGGGTCACGACTGAAAAACAACTGAAAACCAATTTTAAAGTATTAAAAAGTTCACAGGCAGCAGGTTAAGAAACCCTCATTTAAAGGGTAGGGTTATGAGTTCAATTTGGGACAGGTTGAGGCTGAGATACCTACAGGACATCCAGGTGGGGAGGTCCAGCAGGTAGCTATTGGGGCAGACCCTGGAGCCCAGGAAAGAGCCTAGCCTGTCCCATCCAGCCTGCTTTGAAGATGCTCCACCACTCTATGTCTGCAGCAGTCTGGATAATCATTGAGAGCCGACTATATTCCATCCATTTTTAAATATCTAAACTGACAGATCCTTAAAAAAACCAAACAGAGGTAGATTTCTGCTTCTAATTCCCTTCCCCCGTTCCCTCCTCCTTCCCTCCCTCCTCTTCTCTGGCAGGTCTTTGATTTTCCAGCAGGATGGCTGATTGCCTCCCCCTCCTGCACGCCCCTGTACCACCTTCTCTGCTGCCTTTTTATACTCCTCACAGCTTCCCAGGGCCGCCCACCTCCCTTCCCTCCTTTCAGAGCTGCTGCGGGTCTGTCTGACTTGCTGCAGGAAACCTGCCTATCCTGGGGTAGGGGCTGCTGCTGGTGCTTGGGAGATGCTGTGCTCATCTGCTCATCTCCTTCAAACAGCCGTGGTCAAGCATTGAGTTTCCCCTGGAGCCTGGCAAACGAAGTGAGCAGAGAATCTGAGCGGCAGCCAGGGAGGAAGTCAAAATCAAAGGCTGATGCAGAGGTGGGGGGGTGGAGAAAGAGGCCTGGATTTGAACCCCAGCCCCAAACCTGTGTGCTTAGGCAAAGCATCACCTTCCTCTGTCTGAGACTATCCATGTAACTGTGGACAGGTTAGCCTACCTCGGGGCCTTCCACACCCTTCCTCTGCACAATGAGGCCACACTAGATGACCTCAAAGGGTCCTTCCGGTTTTAAATTCTGAACTCTGTGATGGCAGATGAATTACTGCCCCTCTCTGGGGCCGAGTTTTCTCCTCCTCTAAAACGAGAGGGCTAGACTAGGTGATTTGTGACAGCGTATCACAGAATATTCAGTCATATCTGATTCTTCATGACCCCATTTAAGGTTTTGTTGGCAGAGATACTAGAACAGTTTGCCATTTCCTTCTCCAGCTCATTTTTACAGATGAGGCAACTGAAGCAAATAGGGTTAAGTGACTTGCCCAGGGTCACGTGGCTAGTAATTGTCCGAGGTCAGGTTTGAACTCGTGTCTTCCTGACTTGAGGTTCAGTGCTTTCTTCGTCCCCCATGCCCCCAAGGCTCAATTCAGGTGCCACCTCCCCGTGAGGCCTTTTCTCTTCCCCACCCCCCAGTTGTTAGTGCTCTTTCCCCTCAAAATTACTTTGTATTTACTGTGTCTTTATTTATCTGCGTACAGGTTGTCTCCATCCCACTGCCTCTTTATATTTTTGTAATTATTCCTACTGCAAACATTTGTCCAAATCGGGTTCTACGCTGCATTTCGAGGGACCAGAGGCGGAGGCTGTTCACCACAGTGTTTTCTGTCCTGATGTTTCTTGCAGATGATGCAGTTTGCCTGGGATAACTACAAGCAGTTTGCGCTGGGGAAGAACGAGCTGCGGCCGGTGACGAAGAATGGCTACACGGGTGGCATGTTCGGTGAGAAGCCCGTGGGCTCCGGTGGCCGCACGCTTGGCTGAGACAGTACTGTCTGGCTCCTCACCCTTCCCACCCTCACTCTGCTACCCCCTCGCCTGCTCTCCTCTCTGTCTCTTTGTCATCCCTCTCTCCCTCCTCCCCTCCCCTCCCCTGCCCTCCCCTCCCTTCCTTGCCTCTCTTCTCTTCTCTTCCTTTCTCTTCTCCTCTCCTCTTTCTCTTTTTTCTCTTCTTTTCTCTTCCTTTCTCTTCTCTTCCTTTCTCTTCTCCTCTCCTCTCTTCTCTTCTCCTCTCCTCTTTTCCTTTCTCTTCTCTTCTTCTCTCTTTTCTTACTTTCTCTTCTCTCTTCTCTTCTCTTCCTTTCTCTTCTCCTCTCTTCTCTTCTGTTCTTCTCTCCTCTCTTCTTTTCCTTTCTCTTCTCCTCTCCTCTCTTCTCTTCTGTTCTTCTCTCCTCTCTTCTTTTCCTTTCTCTTCTCTTCTTCTCTCTTCTCTTCTCCTTTCTCTTCTCTTTCTTTCTCTTCTTTCTCTCTCTCCCTCTCCCCTTCTCTTTCCCCCCTCTCCCTCTTTCCTTCTCTCATCCTTTCCCTTACATTCTCCATCTCTCCCTTTTTCCATCTCCCTCTTGACTGAAGTATGCTCACGTCTCACTGCCATACTGAGGGATATGAGCAACCTGTAAGGTGGCCTGGATGGTGAAGGGGCTGGGTATTCAGCATTCAATTAACAGCTGTTTCTTTGCCATTTGCCACAGTGACTAGAGTGTGGGTATTGGAGTCAAGAAGACCAGTGTCCAACTCCTGCCTCAGGCATGTTGTGTGTGGTTTGTCCTTGGTTCTCGAAGAGGACCATGACATCATGAAGATGATGCCATGACTTGCAAGTGAATTGTATTACAGTGAGGGAGAGCAGTGTAAAGGTACCAGCCTCACTTTCTCCTCCAGAGTCATCTGGGTCCAGTGGCCAGATACAGACCAGGACAGCTCAAGACGGTCTAGGATGCAGTGGAGACTTTGGCCTGTTTAAGCTATGGCCTTTCTGAGTTCTCGCTTTGACTGAGGCAAGGTCCATTGAGTAATAGTTTGTCTTTCGGCCAGAAACAACTCTGAGGGTCTCCCCCTCCCTCAGACATATACTTGCTGTGTGACCCTGGGCCATTTACCTAACCTCTCTGGGCCTGAATTTTCTCATTTGCAAAATGAGGGGTTTGAACTCAATGGTCTTTAGGTTCCTTCCAACTCTGCATCTATGATGGGTGTTTTAGGGAGCCTAAATCCAAATGCCTGCAGAGAATTGTGCTGTTCCCTGGGAAAAGTTTAAATAAGGAATGGTTGGTGTCTACATGGAGCTTATGGGAAAAAAAAAAACGCAATCACAGCTAATAACTCTAACCCATGATAACATATATTCCAACCTTGTGTTCTCTCCTCAAGCCTCCTAGATACTCCCTCTCTAAACCCCCTTAGCTCAAGGCCTTGTCTCTATCTCACTGAAAAAATGGAAGCCATTGCCGAAAGCTTTTTTCCCCTTCTCATCTCACATCCCTCTGACTTCATCCCCCACTATCTTCCCTTCAGTCTCTGCTAATGAGGTGGTCCTTCCAACTGCCAAATCCAGCCCCTTTACGTGCACCCTTGGCCCCATCCCCTCCTGGGTCCCCCTGCAGATTGCCCTGCCATTACTCCCACAATCTAATCTTAAGTTTCTCCTTATCTATTGGTTCCTTCCCAGCTACCTACAAACATTCCCAAGTATCATTCATCTCTGGTCTGCTCATTCCTGATAGCTGTTGTCCTATATCATCTACAATTAATGCCTCTCCTTATTCTCCTATCATTTGTAAACCTTCAGTAGTCTGGTTTCTGGTTGACCCACATTGTTCTCTTCAAGGTTATCAGTGCTCTCTTAATGGCCAAATCCAATGACCTATCCTCAGTTCTCTTCCTGCTTGACCTTTCTGCGGCTTTTGATGCTGCTGACCACTTCCTCTTGGATTCCCCCCCACCTTGGTTCTTTGCCTATTTATCTAACAATTTCTTTTCAATCTCTTTTCTTGGATATTCATCCATGTCACACCCATTAACTGTGGGTGTCCTCTAAGGCTCAGTCCTAGACCCTCTTCTCTTTTCCCTGTATCTTCTTGAATTTGATAAATTAATCAGTTCCCATAGGTTCAATTGCCATTTCTATACAGAGAATTTCCGGAACTCTATATTCAGCCCTTGTTTCCCTCCTGAGTTCCAATTTGGCATCACCAACTGTCTATTGGGTATTTGGACCTAGATTTACCTTAGATATCTCAAATTTAACATATGGAAAGCAAAACTCATTACCCCCCCAACCCTCCCTCTTCCTAACTGCCCTTTTATTGTTGGAGGCCCCACCATCCTCCTAGTCACCCAGATTTAAGACCTCAATGCATTTATTAATAGGCTGTTCTACTTGTCTATTTTATGCCTGTGTAATGGGAGCAGCAGTAGGGGAGGGAAAGGAGATATTGTGGAGGTGGGTCAGCAGCTGAATCTTAAAGGAAACCAGAGATTCTAAGAGATAAGAGATTGAGAGGAAGGGCATTGGAGGCTTGGGGTCAGCAACTGGGTAAGAGAGACAAAAGAAAGGGAGAAGTCAAAGGTAACCCCAGGTTTCCACATTAGAGAAATAGTGAGTTGTGCCCCAGACAGAAAGAGTGAAGGAGCTCCTCAGAAATAGGAACAAGTTTAGAGTAAAGGGCAAATTCTGTTTTGAATATTTGGAGATTCTTGTGAGATATCCAGGTAGAGAGATCTTAGAAAAAGGATTGACAGAGGGAATAGAGATGTTCAGCCTGTGAAAGAGAGCACTCAGGTAGGAAATTTGTGTTCAGATACCTGCCCTGCTACTTCCGCAAAATTAGAACTGCTGACTTGGGATATGAGCATCTTAAGGGCTCTTCTCCAAGAAGGCATCTCCAAGAGTATCCTCAGATCACAGAAGAGTCAGTCCTTGGTCAACACAACCACAGAGACAGCTTTCTCATTTTAGCAACTGCTTTACGTAAGTTAAGCTTCTTGAAGAAATCCAAGTCAATGTCTTTACCTTTATCCATTTCCTATTTCCCAAAATAAACAACTCATTTGAATAGGTTAGACCAGAACTACAGTAATCACATATAGTATCTTCATCTTTATCCTTCTAATTTGGTGTGCTTTTGAACTCAGCTTGAAACAGTTGATCTGACTGCAAATCTGATTGAATCTCCCTGTAGTTGCTGCAGACCCCAGAAAGAAAGCTCTTACCACCAAAATCCTTGGCCCTGTTACACAGTTCAATATCAGAAACTGGTATGAATTTATCAGTGAAAATAGCATTAAAAAGGAGGTATTACTATCTGCTTTGCTGCTGATCCTAAGGACCAGAAGACCTTTCTTTCTGCCATGCAGCTAAAACCTCCTGTGGGTTTTTTCTCTCCCATTAGAATGTGAGCTCCTGGAGTGCAGAGGCTGTCTGAATTTTCTGTTTGTCTTGACAGCCTTAGCACAGCACTTTGTATATAATAAGCCCTGCAAAAATGCCTTTCCCTTCCCCCATTCATTTCATTTATTCACTTAGAAACAACTCCTGAATAATAATCTTGTGAAGTTCTTTGTAGAATTTCTCTGTCTCTGTCCCATGTAATAAATGTGGGGCATCCATTGAAATCATCTTCATTATGGTCTTTTGGGTTCTACTCCTCATGAGTGCTAAGGGGCAAGTTGACTGAGTGTCTTGTGAAATGATATTTCTTATTGCCTTTGAGCGCATGATGAAACCAACTCTTTTATGGTCTCTCCAAGGGGAACTTAAAGCTAAATGCAGAGATCACTCACAATTTCCATCTTCTGGTTTATTTATGGCAGGAGTGTCATTATTGATGTGATTTTGTTCTTCCAGTTGGCCATTGGCCTCTCATTTATCATGGAACAAGGACCTCACATTCAGAACACTAGTGGTGAAATTGATGTTTATAGATAGTTTAAAAACTGAGATTCCAAACACGTCTCTATCCTCTTTTTTAGCCACTGTCACTGTGGAAACAGAAGGATGGATTGGACCACAGGCGACTTAGGGCCATTTTATGTTTTTCTTCCGTGGGTTGCCTTGGCCAATGAATTCATCCCCTATGGACTGATAATGTACCTCTCCATACTTAGCTGGGCTGATCTGAAGACAAGAGATCCAGGCTGTAACTGGGACCATCCTCAAAGCTTTGCTAGCTTAATAGAACCAGCCATGCGTGGGTGTCATGACTTCAGAGAGCTCAGGGTCCCCTCGGTGTTAAGATGAAGCATTGGAGCAGGACTTTTTGTGGAAAAATGAGGATAGGGAAATTGACTGTCAGAGAGATGATGACTTCAGTCCATCAGTAAGCATTTATTAAGTGCGTAATATGTGCTGGGTACTGTCATAGGAGCTGGAGGTACAAAGAATGAAACAATCCTTCCTCTCTAAACCAAAGGGGTTTAGGCAGGGACTCAAACCCAAATCTCCTGACTCTGCATCCGGAGATCTTTCCTTTGCTCTAGGCTGTGTTTTAGAAGGGTTTGTAGGTTAAAGGCATAGGCTCTTGACATCTGCAAAATTTGCTTGGGTCAATTTGTTTATTGTCCTTGTAACAGTGTTTTGCAAGATGAATTGTCCCGGGGCAGCTAGGTGGCGCAGTGGATAGAGCATCGGCCCTGGATTCAGGAGGACCTGAGTTCAAATCCGGCCTCAGACACATAACACTTACTAGCTGTGTGACCTTGGGCAAGTCACTTAACCTGATTGCCTAGCCAAAAATAAAAAATAAATAAAATAAATAAAAAAATAAGATGAATTGTCCCAGTAACTGCTGGATCCTGAAGCCCCCATCCCTACCCAATCCTAGCTCTTGGAGTGGGGGGGGGGGTGAAGAAGGGGATGGATAGAAGGCTAGTTTGTGGCTATGAGAAGCAGAAGAAAAACCCTTGAGGAAAAAGATGGAATCGACTTCTGATTGTGATTATGCC